GGTTGGAGCTCGAAGCTTACTTTCTGAAATGGGTTGTGGTATGATGACTTCATTCTCGTAATGTTATGACTATATATACATTTTTACTTTATTTTCAAAATAATAATAAAAAAAAAAATCTCTGGTCTGGCCCTAATACTCCATCGTATTGGTGGTCTATAGGCCAGATGAGTGTTTCATTTCATCCCCTATAAATACAATATTTAACTTCATTTATGTTGCTATAAAACAGCTTAAATTGGACATTTTCATTAAAACCTTAATACTAATTGTTTAAACCTAATTTTCAAAATCAAAATAATTGCTTATTAATTGTGAAGATTACTGCTCTGGTTTTATATTTTCATCTTCACCAGTCAGATAAAGGCAACTTTAGCATGAAGGCCACAACTGACAGAAAAAAAAAGAAAAACACGATATAAAATGGATGAATAGAGGAGCCTAAAGGACCCTTAAACTGGTGATTATATGATAAGGTGGAAGAACAAAGATAATCCCTATGTAGTGGTAAAAAGTCTTATTGTGTACAAACCATGAAAGGGATGCGTAGCTAATCTTGAAAAGCACTGAAAGATCATCTCATGTGATGTCTGAAAAAAAAATGTAAACAAACAAGCCAGAGTGATTTTAATTTGATTTCAGAAAATATTAAAACAAGCAAAACATTTCAGACTGATCCAATGCTAATCTACATAGATTAGCATTAAACAACACAAGACTTTTTAAACTGTTTCACAAAGAGCAAAAAAGATGGGAACTTCCAGGAATTTGTTGCAAGCAGACATCAGTAAATCAAGTAAAACAAAAACTTTGGTTACAATTGACCTGAAATCGCTTATTAATGTATATTATTTCTAATTCTTCTCATTGACCTCTTACCCCTCTGACCACTTTCCTGAGGGAATTCTGCGGCTCGTCTTTTTCAGACAGAAACTCCATCTGGTTTAAAAAATAAAGGGTCAGTCTGAATTAAAAGTTCTGAAAATGGAAAACATTGCTACATGATCTTTTATTATCAATAGGACAAGCAAATAATGAGCCTACTGGTAAAAAGGACTTAAGTGAACACAAGTAAATAAAAAAAAAGCCAGCAAAGCCGAAAGGAAAAATTGAAGTTCAAATAAACAGATGATTGAGGTCCATCTTAGCTTCTACAATGATGTGTCATGGAAACAGTTTAGCCATTCCATGATGTATGAGAACTGTAGTAATAATTCCGAGTACATACATACTAATCAACATCCTATGGAACACATTATAATAATTTGTCTTTTTCTTACCTGTTTAATTTTTCCCCTGAACACAGTGGAAATGGTGCTGGATACAATACGAGGTGTGAGGCCACGGAAGAGTCCCAGCTTTCCATCGACTTTCACAATGTACTTTGCTGAAAACAAACACACTTTATCTTAGTTGATCTTAACTTCTTAAGTAACAAAGTTAATTAAAAAAGATACACATACACTATAGTAACCTGTTGTTCATAAAAAATAGATTCAAACATTTGTGAAAACGAGTTGAAATAAAAGATTTTCATTAACGTCTTCCTTACATTTTCAGGTCAGCTAAGTTAGAGCAAGCCGGTCAGGAGTGGAACCTCCATGTTCTGCAGCTAAAGGCTAAAGTTAGCTGCAGAACAGCTAACTTTAGTTACGCTAAGTCAAACTACTGGACACACAAAAAATTCCTGTGACCAAGTAGTGCTTATAGGTAAGGGTGTTAATTTACTCCAACTGCAAGATCTTAGAGTACCGAGAGGGGTGCTGGGGTGCTCACATAATACAGAGATTTATGTGATTTTTTTTCCCTACTTAATAATAATAAATAATAATATATTTTTTTCATAAGTAACATATTTTCCTATTAAAGTCATGGCTGAATTGTATTTTTTCCATTTTTCATCTGAGCTGACTCACTTCTAGTTGCCAGCACTTTAGGACAATGTGAGGTGAGAGCCTTAAAGTCTGTCTGATATTTAATGTCTGTTATAAAAGACTGTAAAGCTGTATAATCAGTAACACTTATGTCACTAAAGCCATGCTTGTTTTCTACTTTGAATGCAAAGTCAAAGAAAATGCAGTTAAAGCTCTATAAAAGCTTAACTTGACCAATGTCATGCTTACTTCCTTTTTTAACTGTAAAAAACCTCTGCAGAAAATGTAGTTGTTTGAACTAAACAATTCTGAGAACAAATCTCCTTTTATTGAACTTATTTTAGTGATTAAATTTATTCAAAAGAAAGTGATCCGTCACTAGTAAGTTATGCATAAAGATATCCCCCAGTTCATGTTAAACTCATGCTTCTGGCAGCAATAACTTCCTGTAGAACTAAGTATCATAGAAGTGGGTACAATACCCAAAATTTTATTGAAGTAAAAACAGCACTATACTTCATCATATTTGACTGAAGAAATACTGAAAAGTAGTAATCCTTAGACTTAGAAAACTTTTACTGTCAGTTTTGACATTTCGTTTTGTACAGCATGACTGCATGACAGCAGGTATTGACTTTTCCATTTCTTAAAGTTCCGCAGTGAATTTATTTCATTATAAAATAT